ATTTTATCTTTCGGATTCATATTTTCACACATCTGTACAGAGTATACCTCCCTCCTTGATTAACAGGAACCATACCCCCCTTTTTTTGGGAACCTTTTAGTTAACTGATGGGATCTTGTGGCTGTGTTTTATTCCAATAGGCCAGNCTGCATGGATGACCAGGATTTGACCGGACTAAAAAAGAGATATAGTCAAGGTGTAAATATAAGTTGACTCAAAAATTCTTAACCGTAGAACCAAAAAAAATTAAATTGGTGGGTTATGGATGGGGTTAATTTTAGAACACNAAGAAAGCGATCTAGTCCGCGCCTTACCCTGTCGTTTATTTTATCTTTCGGATTCATATTTTCACACATCTGTACATAGTATACCTCCCTCCTTGATTAACAGGAACCATACCCCCCTTTTTTTAGGAACCTTTTAGTTAACTGATGGGATCTTGTGGCTGTGTTTTATTCCAATAGGCCAGCTTCAGTGGCATTAAATGTGTGGCAGCCTGAGGTTATACGGGTTTGGCAAAGACAGATAGTTGAGCAATGTGTTGTTCCTGTCGACTCTCGAATCAGTGCACTTGAAATGGAGCTTAAGCTATGCCAGCAGCAGGTGGCTGGATTGAATAAAGCTCATGTAAGTGTAGATCTTTTACTACATACCAGAAAGCTTCAAATTTTTGTCAGAGTTGAGTGAAAAAGATTTGATATACTACTATTAATCTTGCGTATTAATCACCGCAGAGAGATGAGAAGAGAAAGCTTGATGCACTGAAGGAACAGTTGGCTTCAATAAAGTATCATCCTCTTCGCGATTATAACTTGATAAGCAGCAGGGTTGATGAATATGGTATTAAGATAAAGAACTTGAAACATTTGCCTAACTGCTTTCCGGATACATTTTCCCAAGTGTAATGCACTGATTTTCTTCTTATACGCAACATAGATTTTTCTGCTTCTTTTCGGGTTGAAGTTATATTATTTTAACTTTGTGCTGCTATTCTATAAAAGTTGTTGGTCTTGCAGCTTTTAGTTCCCCTCTGATTGTATGCATCCCTCTTTCTACCCATTTTGTAAACTTGGTCGTTTGGANCTGATTTTCTTCTTATACGCAACATAGATTTTTCTGCTTCTTTTCGGGTAGAAGTTATATTATTTCAACTTTGTGCTGCTATTCTATAAAAGTTGTTGGTCTTGCAGCTTTTAGTCCCCCTCTGATTGTATGCATCCCTCTTTCTACCCATTTTGTAAACTTGGTCGTTTGGAAACTAATTAATGTGTTGCTGGAAAAATATTTTGGGTCTCTGTTGTTTTATGAATAATTCTGCACCAAGTGTTGCTTAGATGCAGTCCTATACATACATCAACAATGAGTTAAGCCTTCAACGGTACAGTGACAAATAATTTTAATAACGTACAGAAACTTTGTTCCCATTCTGAAGTCCTCTCAGGTTATAGCCTTCTTATTAAAATGCCCACTGTTGCATTTTTCAATACCTTTGTTTGTAAGGAAAGTACTACTAATGTATCTTATAAGTTCTAGGCATAGTTTTTAAACCCAGCCCATACATTAACCTGACAAAGGGACTGGGTTGAATGGTTTATCCAGAAACGGTCAGATTCAACAGATTTTGGGTGAATTTTATACTAAAACGATATAAATGATGAACCGGTCGAGTTTACGGTTTGGTTCACCAAGTCAACTTGCCAAGTAAGACTAGGTTTTAAAACACTAGTCCTAAGAATATGACATTTTCCCTCTTTTATCACAAGTGGAGGTGAAAGTCTTTAGCTTTCTTTTCGAGGTTGTGGAAGATGATCCACTTCGGTGTAGTGGTGGAGCCAGAACTTCGGTGTAGTGGTGGAGCCAGAAATTCTGTTTAGAGTGGATATTTTATTCAGAAATTTTAATTTTTTTCTCCTATTCAATAGAAGTAAAATAATGTATTTAAATTTACGACACTGTATTTAATACTTAAAGATTCATAAAGTACAAAAATTATCAAACATCGATAAATATAATGTACACAAAAAAAAAACAAAAAAAAAAGATTTAATCACAACCTTTCATAACAAATGAGACTAATTGCATAAAAGATAGTATTGTCTTNATCGATAAATATAATGTACACAAAAAAAAACAAAAAAAAAGAGTTAATCACAACCTTTCATAACAAATGAGACTAATTGCATAAAAGATAGTATTGTCTTTTTCTATATAATCAATTAAGTTATTAGTCATTGATCACTCATTAAGTTATTTAACTTAGTTTTCATAATATCTATAACTTTAAAAAAGATTTCGGCATGTCAAAGATTTATCTAAATATATCTATAAAGTATTCAAAATATAAAATATATCTAAAAATTTATAATTATTTAATTATATGATTATATTAATTGATAGAAGAAAAAATAATAGAATAGGTACACTTAAGTATACTTATAATAATTTAACTATATATATAACTTAAAAATTTTTTAAGGTGGACCCAAACTCCCCTAGTGCTCATGTGGCACCGCCACAGTCTCGTGGGCAACGTCTCAAATTCCATTGATCAAGTGTGTAATCACCATGTCTTAAGTGGGGTCGGCTGACCAGAATTAGAAGAGAGTAGGTTGAATATTGTATATTCACTAGTTTTGTGGTGTCATGTAGTCACTGAAATACTAAAATTTAATCCCAAAGATAGTTCAAATGGTAACAGGAATGAGCTATAAATTTGGACGTCCTGAACTCGAATTTTGACAATCTCTTGGAGCTAAGCTATGATAAATTTATCCTTCATGAATATTTTAGTCTTGCATGGATGACCAGGATTTGACCGGACTAAAAAAGAGATATAGTCAAGGTGTAAATATAAGTTGACTCAAAAATTCTTAATCGTAGAACCAAAAAAAATTAAATTGGTGGGTTATGGATGGGGTTAATTTTAGAACACAAATTTTAGGTAAATCATTGAATCAATGTGCCATGCAATCCATCTAGGGGTGTTGTCTTGTTAGCTACTAATGTTTTCACTTAGAACATTTTTAACTGTGACTTAAATTTGAGAAAAAAGTTTGATTTTATACAAATCATTCTAATGGAGAAATTCAAAGTTAAAAAAGGACAAACACAAATTTAAAGTAGAATAAAATATGTTCACTAGATCTTTAAAAGAGAATAAGATCTAAGCATTGGTGATTTGAGTAAAAGTTGTAGTCTCTTTTCATTTGAGTAAAAATTTGAATTTTTCTTAATTTTATATTGGAGAAAGTTTTTAGAGATTTTTTTATCGAAATTTAAATTTAAATTTTAAAAAAGGTAAAGGATTGGAGATGTTATTAAGCGTAAGATATGAAAATTTAAACTTAAATAAACGATGAGTACGCTAAGTGAGCATTTAACTACTTGAAAATTCTGGAGTGCACTAAACATAAACACGCGAGTGAAGAGAGGAGGTTTGGAAGAAAGAAAAGTAGCAGAACAAATTATATGCTTCCCCGACAACAACGCTAAAATGCTTGTTCTCTAATGTGGGTTAATATCAGTGTGTTCCCAAATGCAGGAAGTATATCGTTTAGTAATTCGGTCGACTACCGAAGTCGTCTCCGCAGAGAAAACAAAGGTTAAATTCGATCAATGATAGCCAAAGAAAAGTAAAATTCTTTGATTTTGGAAAAGGATTTTCAGAAACATGTAACTAAATAACAATAATTAAAGAAAAAACAGTTAATCGCCATAGCTCATCCCATCGTGAATAGTAATTTTGAACTAATCCTATTACTCACTCTAGGCTGTAATTAAATGCACTCAAGTAGAAAATATTCAAGTAAAACCAACGAAAGTTACAAAGGTGTATTCAAATTGATTGACTTAATTTTGAAAGAATTACATTCATGTTGATTGTAGCGATTCTAAAAATTATCCATGTCAAACCTAACTATCTACGGATAAATAAAGAGATATACATATCACCCGTGTTTTCAACTTTAATTATTCAATCAACAAAATAACTTAATCTTTGGAAAAATCCTAGTTAGTTCAGAATCCTCATTCACAGATGAGATTCTCTCATCTGATTAAACTGGAAAACGACTACTCACTCATTACGTAAGTAAAAACAAAAGTAATTGAAATAAACATCAACATAATCAAAAGAGAAATTTAACTTGAATCAAAATCGTCATAGAAAGTAAATACCTTGAATTAAATGCAAAAAATCATAAATCGTTACATAAAAGAAAACCAATGTACTCGCCTAATAGGAAATTAAACAATTGAAAGTAGAACAAAGCTTGGAATAGAATACAATGGAAGAACTCTTGAAGAACGAGTAAATTCTAATTCTATGTAGGAGAAACGGCTAAAGGAAAAATAAAATAATGAACAATCGATGAACTCCTCCTTTTCTCTCTTGCTTAACCTTGGTATTTATATTCATTTGGTGAATATCCTCCAAATTATCCACCAATCACAACCCTTTAAAATTCCAGCAAATAGACTTCCCAAAGGGTCCTCGCAACATAAAAACACTAATGAACCAATAGGAAACACAATTCGACTTACCGGTAGCAAGGTTACTATTTCCTACGAACTAGTAGCTTTTCACAACTATTTGTAGAATTGCTCTCTATTTTGAATCTACCGTTAGGAAAGTAATAACCTACTGGTATCAAAGTTTCTATTTTACTTCTACTAGTAAGAATGCACTGCTACTAGTAGAACCACAATTTGCTACCTGATGAACCGGTAGAATCAATCTTTTTCCCAATTCTTATTGCAATGCTCTTGGCTCAACTCTTAGATCCTCTAATTCCTTGCCAAAGTATTCCAAGCATCAAAATGTATATAAAACCTTGTTCTTTAATTTACCTACAAACACGGGGGGCACAAAATTCGTTCTAGACAGAGAAACTCCTGCGTCTCTCTAACTTTTCTTCATTTTCTCATTTCTTTTCAAAATTATTCATTAATTATTGTTATTTTACTGGTTTTTTTGATTCAATTTTCTGATTTCATTAGCTATGAGCTCGAATTTGCATTTGATTCCTCCTAAACCACCAGACATCAAGAGAAATTTTGCTTCTTTTTTTGTAAAACCTACGAGTTCTTTGAAGAATGATGAAATCAGGTATGGGTGTGGAAATGTTTCTTCATCTTCTGTGAGTCAATTTGGTCTTGGAATCCCTTTTGTTATGCCTCCTTTGGTTAGCCAAATCTCTTCATATGGCCAGTTACCCATAATCATTCCTTCGCTAACTCAAGTTCCTTCGGTTTCTCAAATTCCTTCGAATGTTAGTTTTTCTTCAATTTCTCATTCTTCTATGGTTGATAAGGATCAGGTTCCTTTGGTATCTGAATCTTTTGTCCCTTCGATAGATCTTCCTCATACTATGAATCCTGTATTGGCATCTGCGGCTATTCCAAAACCTGCGAAGAGGGTTGTCTATAATAACGGCGAACCAGGTATTTATTGGACACCTTTAGAAACTCAGGAACTTTCGAAGCAATTTCATCAATCTCTGATAGGTAAATGTGCGTATGGGTGACCTTCATTAGGTGTGATAAAATAGTTTATTACTTTGCGATGGCTGCCCAAAGGGGAGTTTATTGTTGGAGTTCTAGATCCAAGGCATATATTAATTCATTTCTCACTATATGAAGATTATCCAGACCTGGAGTTGCTAGGGCGTGTGTTGAAGTCAACTTACTGGCGGAGAATCCTTCTAGATTTTGGCTAGATTTTGGGGGTTCAAGGGGTAGATGGTAGAAAATTGTTTATGAAAAAGGGGTGAAGTATTGTAAAAAATGTTTAAAACAGGGACATGGAGATCTAGAGTGTAGAAGAAATGTGTCTAGGAAGGGAGATAAAGATGTTGGTAAGGAAGGTGGTAGTACAAAGAGTAAACATTCTTTTGTTCTAGTTGCCCAAGAAGAATTGATTGGTGGAAATAATAAAAGGGAATGGCAAGTGGTAAAAGGGAAAGGTGTAACTTCTAAGGAGAGTCGAAGTATAAGGGGAAGTTCTCCTTTGCAAATTGATGGGAATATGTTCAATCTCCTTAGAGGTAACCATTCTGGTAAGGATGATCATGTTTAGTAGAAGCAAAGGAGTGATAGATCTGCTCCTATGTTGTTTGGTTTTGTGGATGATAGATTGCAGAAGGAGGCAGGTCGAGTTATTTTAAATGAAAAGTCTGTTTTTGAAGGTGGGAAAAAGTTGTCTAAATCTGCTGGTTTGAATGTGGAGAAGGAAGGTTTTTCGGCTAATGAAGGTGTAGTTTTTCCTGTTGATCCAATTCAAATTACAGAGGATGTTATTGGTGATATTTTAGATGGAATAATAGAGAGGGTTGTGGAGGATGGAAATTTGTTTGTTCCAGACCAAATGGTTAGGAATGGTGTTTCTGGGGAAATACAGTTTGTCTCCTTAAGTCCAATAAATGATCCTGCTAAAGTGGGTTCTTTGGCCCTAGTAGGAGATTTGAGTGTGGGAAATGGACAAAGGGGTTGTCAAGATGGTGGCTCTGGAAATGCAGTTGGAGGAATTGAACATTGTGTTTTTTAATAAGCAGTTTTCTCCTTCTAAAGCTTCATTTTATTTGGAAAGATTTACCAAGTCTAAAAGTGTTGCTTCCATTTCTCTTGATGATGAAAGAGGATTAGTCAGAATTCGTGAGCCTCCTGANATTGTGTTTTTTAATAAGCAGTTTTCTCCTTCTAAAGCTTCATTTTATTTGGAAAGATTTACCAAGTCTAAAAGTGCTGCTTCCATTTCTCTTGATGATGAAAGAGGATTAGTCAGAATTCGTGAGCCTCCTGACAAGGGATATTTTTTTGATACAAGTACTTTGAAGAGTAAGGATTTGTTGGGAAAAATTGTGGAGGATAGTGAAGGTTCAAAATCAGATTCAACCTCGGTGGAGTTTTCCTCTGCAGAGGTGGAGATGAGGGTGTGAGAAAGGGGAAGTGTTGTTGTAATACCCCATTCCATTTTGGCAAGGAACTAGTTAGAGAATATTATCTTGGAAGGAATAAGAAAAATTTTAAAGAAGAATCTAGAATAGTCTAGAAAGTTCAAGAATAACCTAGAATAATCTAGAAGAATCCAGAATGTTGAAGAAGTTTTTAGAAGAATTCAGAAAGTTCTACAACAATCTAAAGAAGTCTAGAATATTTTAAAAGGTTCTAGAAAATACTAGAAGGTTCTAGAGGGATTTAGAATGTTCCAGAATGTTATGTTGGAAGGACTTAAAAGGTTGGAGAAGACTTTAAAATATTATAGATGAACCTAGATACTTGTGGAATTGCTATGTGCAAAATAAGCTTGGAACCTAGAAGGATCTAGGAGAGGGGAGATGNAAGAAGTCTAGAATATTTTAAAAGGTTCTAGAGGGATTTAGAATGTTCCAGAAAGTTATGTTGGAAGGACTTAAAAGGTTGGAGAAGACTTTAAAATATTATAGATGAACCTAGATACTTGTGGAATTGCTATGTGCAAAATAAGCTTGGAACCTAGAAGGATCTAGGAGAGGGGAGATGGTAGAATATTCTAGGGAATCTCCCCTAAGAATGTCACAAGTAGTCTTCTACTTTCAAGAAAGAACATAGAGTAAAAGAGAGAAGAAGGAAGGAAGAGCACCTCATCAAAGAAGAAAGGAAATTGTGAGAAAAAGAGGAAAGACATCGATAACATCTCACTCTACTTCGGGTAACAAGTAACACTCAAGAAACATATCATTTGGACTTGAGGTGAGTGGTTTGGCATGCTACGTATTTTCGAAAATTTCTCGTATCACTTAACATTTTAAAAACAATACATCATGCTTGTTCATTACTACCTTTCCAAAATGTTTTACTAAGTGTCTAAATACTTGTGGCATACGATTCTCCTTGCTTTGATAAATTCTTTTGACTCAATCACTTGTTTATATGGTGAGACTTAGACTTAGTGAGGGTAAATGAGACCAAAATTAAAAGTCCAGAAAAATTATTCCTCTATGTGCGGGTGACTCTGGCCACTAGGGAATATACCCGGGGGAGGCTGAGGTGACCTTAGTGCTCAACGGTTGAAGGAACAGTGCCTGGTGCGTCCTGGTGACCTTCATCGGATTGTCTTAGGGAACAGACTGGGGGAGGTTGTGGTGACCCTAAGTACGATGTTGGATCCAACCCTGAGATATATTATGGCATTTGGTATTTGCTTCCCATCGATTAGTGGATATTGTACAGTCTCCACCATTATGCTATGATTCACAATTGAGGTATGATTTCTTGTTCAAATCGTTATTCTTGAGAAATTTGTTATTTTGATGAAGTTATTTTTTCAAACCTTTGATTTACATGTCGTATGCCAAAAATATTTTTCAACCACTTTGAATATGCATGTCTTTCCATTCACTGGGCTTTGTAGCTCATGTTTTCAAAATAATATATTTTTTTTAGGTAAACGATTGGAGTGTCAATAGCGGACTCAAGAAATTGATTGGGGACTAATAGTGTTGTGACCTTTGTAGCATATATCGTATAGCTATATTTACTTGTTTGGATAATTGGGGCAAACTGGTTTAGGTATGTTTACTTTGATATATTGACATGAGATCAATTTAGTGTTAATGTTGTTTTCCGCTCCTATANAGTTTAGGTATGTTTACTTTGATATATTGATATGAGATCAATTTAGTGTTAATGTTGTTTTCCGCTCCTATATTATTAGTTTATTGTTAGGCTTATGTGTTCAATAGGTTATGGATCTATGGTTCACTGCCGGTCATGCCCTTGGAGTTGGGGTGTGACAGTTGTTGCTTCTTTACATGTTTAATCTTCTGACATGTGAGATACAAGGTTTAGGACTGTTTGTCCTGAGGAGGTGTTAGTGGTGGGTAGGTTTGATACCAATGAGCTTCTATTTTGTTTTCGATGATTAATCTGTTTGTTTGGAATATGAGGGGGGATAAGAAAGATTGCTCAGAGAAGACAGTTGAAGAAATTGTTGAGAATTCACAGTGTGCCTTTTGCTGATATTTTAGAGCCTAAGGTAGGTGCTGATAAGATCCAGAGATATGCTTCTAGTGTTGGTATGTCAAACTTTGTTGTAAACAAATTGGTAGAGAAGCACATATGGCTTTTATGGGATGATTGTTTGGAGGCTAAGATTTTATTTGAACATATTCAGGCAATAATTGTAGAGATTTCCTATTTGGGATCTGTGGGGGTTATTGTGTCTTTTGTGTATGCTGCCTATGACTATGTTCTAAGAAGATCTTTGTGGGAGCATTTGTTACAGATATCTATTCCTATAAATGTGCCTCGGATGGTGGTAGGCAATTTTAATGCGATTCTGTGTTCTGAGGAGAGATTAGGTGGAGCTCATCCCTTTATGAATTCTATGGGGGAATTCAATGATTTTATGTTGAATGCTGGACAGATGGATGGGGGTTTTTTGGGGAGCAGATTTATCTGGTGTAACAACCGTCAAGGTAATGCGAGGATGTGGTAGAGGATTGACAAGGCTCTGTTGAACTCTCGGTGGGGGGAGATAGTGGGTAAAACTAAAATTCTACATTTAGTAAGGGGAAAGTTTGATCATTCCCCAATTCTTGTTAAAGTTTTGAAGAAACAGAGTCGAATTTCTTATTTTAAATTTCAAAATATGTGGTTAGAAGATAAATTTTTTTTACCTTTGGTGGCTTTGAATTGGTCTGGTTCTTATTCTGCAAATCCCATTGAGAATTTGTTTTTGAAACTGAAATATCTGAAATGCCGCATTAAAAGATGGAATATAGAGACTTGTGGCAATATTTTTGAAAAAATAAGAAGGAAGGAGGTTGAATTATCAAATGCTGAGATGGGGGTTGAGCTTTTGTCTTTTGCTGAAAACCTTGTGAAGCTTGAAACTGTGCAGGAAGAGCTAGTTGATATACTTCATTTGGAAGAGATATACTGGAAACAAAAGGCCAACCTAAAATGGGCAGTGTAGGGGGAGAGGAATACGAGATTTTATCATGCCTTGGCCAAGGGAAAGTTTATGAGGAATAGGGTGTGTCGAATTCAGAATGGGTAGGTATATGGGTACAGTCTGACGAGGAAATTGGGTTAGTAGTAGAAGAATTTTATGCTTCTTTATACAGTTTTGAGCCTCATAGTCTGGATGAAGATTTACTCTCTGTTATTCCTAGATTTGTCTGATACACAAAACACTGCATTGGTGAAGCCTACAGCTGAAGAGGAAGTCAGACAGATTGTTTTCTCTATGCCCAAATATAATGCTCCAGGTGCTGATGGTTTGTCAGGGGGTTTCTTTCAAAGTGCTTGGAGTATTATAAAGGATGATTTGGTGAGGGCAGTAAATTTTTTTCTGAGAGGAGGTGATATGCCAAGATCTGTTAACACTACCTTGTTTTAATTCCTAAGAAAGTAAATCTTGTATCTTTTTCTGAATTTAGGCCCATCAGTCTATGCAATTTTCTTTACAAAATATTTACAAAGCTTTTGACTAAGAGGCTGTTTGGGTTTTTACATGATCTTATTTCTATTGAGCAGCATGGTTTTGTTAAGGGAAGAAACAGTGGTGATTGTGTCTCTCTTGCATAACTGATGGTGGGGGAGTTAAATAGGAAAGTTGAGGCAGGTAATATGATTCTTAAACTGGACATGACGAAAGCCTATGATAGGCTGGAATGGAATTTTTTTATTGAGGGTGTTAGACTGTTTTGGATTTTCCTCCCTATTCATCCAAATTGTTTTTAATTGTTTACAGAATCAATTTTTTTCTGGGACTGTTAATGGTTTGAGGAGAGGTTTCTTTCCTTCGTCTAAAGGGATAAGAAAAGGGGATCCTTTATCCCCTTATCTTTTTATTTTGGCAGAGGAAGTGTTGAGCAGGGGACTCAGGAAAATTTTTAATGACGAATTGGTTAAACATTTTCACTTGGGCAGAGGTACTATGTTGGTGAGTCATTTGCTGTTCGCAGATGGTACCTTGGTTTTTTTGAGGGGAAATAAGAATTCTCTGAAGAATCTGTTGGGATTTTTAAAGCTTTATGAGGGGAGTTCTGGGCAGAGAATTAGTTTGCCTAAGAGCTCCATGTTCTGCTCTAAACTTATTTCTTTGGAGAGGAGAAATGTTTTATCTGGGTTAGCTGAAATTCCAGTTAAGTCTTGCCAATTCACTTATTTGGGTTGTCTAGTGATTCAAGTTAGGGTCAAGGTTAGATCTTTTGAAGGTTTGTTGTCTCAATTTAGAAAGAGATTGGAAGGGTGGTACATGAAGCTTTTGTCTAGTATGGGGAGATTGTTAGTGGTTTGTTATGTGTTGTGTTCTATTCCTATGCATTTATTTGCATGTATGAATCTGCCTAAGACTATAATTGGAAAACTTAACTCATTAATGGCTAGTTTTGTGTGGCAAATAAGTTGAATATTAGAAGGAGACATTGGATTTCTTGGGAGAAGATTACTTTGCCAACATAGGAGGGTGGTCTGGGTTTGAGAAAGTTTGATGAAGTACAGTCTGCTTTTAGAATGAAACAAGTTTGTTTCTTGTTGAAGGGTTCATCGCTGTGGGCTAAAGTATTTAGTACTAAATTTTTAAAAGGTAGAAGTTTGATTAGATGTATGAGGAAAGCTCGTTCTGCTGGTTTTGAATTGCTAAGGTCCTATTTTGAAAGAGTAATTGGAGAGTCAAAGATGTTAGTTGGCAATGGACAAAATTTTGATTTCTTTTGCGATAATTGGATGGGTAATGGGGGTTTGTTTAGCATATTGGAGTCGTTGCCTACAGTTTTTCCTAAATTTTATGAGGTAAGAAGCAATGGTTGATGGTTTCTAAATGATGTGAATGATATTTTAACTGGGAGTCTGAAGGATGAGGTTTTGGGTTTTGCTATCCCTTTCTTTGATTCTGGAGATAAATTAATTTGGCTGTTTACCTTGTATGGAGAATTCTCTGTGAAATGAG